TTATTTGAACAAACGTGGTAGCTCTTCATCCCAGCATGCTACTGGACAAATATCATCACCCTGGGTATTTTGGTTATTCAGAAGAAGTTGTTTCATATTTTAACATGTTTGACCCATGTGACCTTGAATATAGGTGAAGGTCATTTATTTGAGCAAACTTGGTAGCCCTTCATCCAAGTTTGCTACTGGCCAAATATCATCACCCTTAACCTTTTGGTAATAATAAGAAGTTGTTTAAAGTAAAATATTGAAGCCGGACGACGCGCCAAGGCAGGTGAGCTAAAAATTGAACTGGAATAGAACGTGTTCTGATGCCGGTTCACAGAGAGTATATTTATTAAAGTTAAGAAGTTATTAGACATGGGCCCACTTGTATAAAACATCTCAACTCTTGAGATTTCCTCAAGTCTAAGATTTCCCATAGACAATACATTGCTTGAGATTTTCCTTAACTTTGAGATGTTTTATACAAGTGACCCCAGGAAACAGAGCCGGTTTACAGAATGAATTCGACGTTTCACCAATGAAGTAATAGAACTCAATACCAAATACGTTTGCCGGTTTACATCAAGATCAAGATCGAACATATTCAGTAATTCTGTCGATATTCCGAGTTACTAAATCGAAATTTTAAGTTTTTATCTCAAATCTTTTAGTTATAATCCTGAAATTTCGAGTTATTATCTTGAAATTACGAGCTATTTATCTCGGAATTTCCAGTTATTTTCTTCAAATTTCAAATTATTAACAAGAAAAAAAGTATTTGTTCTCGACATGGCCCTCATGCTCCTCCGTATATACTTCTGTATTACTGCACATATTTAATTGACCCTTCCATCCTTTAAAGGACAGTATATTCCAGGTTTACATTTAAATGACTAACACGCATTGCTCTAGCCGACATTTATTATCCTTTTGTGTAAAACCTTAAGAGTATAGATATCGTTGATCAATGGCAATATTGTAACTTAAAATATTTCCGACAATTAACGTTATTACATGCCTTTCGCGCACGCTTATTCGGTGTTATTTATTTAAGTTTAATATTCCTTGTCCACACTCGGAGGAAGAGTAGGCTTGTTGGGCTCCACTGAATGTAAAGGGGCCATACTAATTGCTGCTCATACAGAGTTTATGGTGTGTCTCATGCTAAGAAGAAGTTTACTTACATTAGTTGTTTCGATCATGTCAAACACTATACCAACAAACAAACTTTGAAAAAAATATTTTATATACCAGGACATTTCCGTTAGTGTGTATGTTTTGCCTTTGTTCACCGCCACTTGTGAAGGTAAACAGCAGAATAAACAAGAGGCCCATGGGCCTTAACGGTCACCTGATATATTTATACAGAGAGTTGATTTTGTTTTTAACATGAACAGAGATATTATTCAAAGTGACAAAAAACAATAAAACCTCCTTACTCAATATCTAGCATACAGATTTCAGACTAAAAAGGATTTGAAACTAGCACCTCTGATTCTTAACAAGGAAAATGAAGAAATTTTAGCACACTGACTCCTTTGAGCCCCACCCTACAGCCCTTGGGGGTAGGGCTGGCTCAAAATTTTCAAAGTATCAAACTGTCAATTCAAGGTTATAATTCCAATCAAGTTATTAACATGTAATATTCAAAGTATCATTTGCCATTATAAACCATAATAAAT